CTCCTTGGTTGTAGGGTTCCTGGCGCGCAAGTGCACAAGATAGCGGGCTTCGGGATTTCAGGCTTAGCGCTTAAGCCCTAAACCCTAAACCCTAAACCCTAAAACCCGAAACCCTAAACCCTAAAACCCTAAACCCTAAGAGTTTTGAGGGTGTCCGGGAGTTTCACTCGGTTTCAGAGCCTCTGGAGTCGGAAAGAGGTTTTGTTTTTGGATTGGGGTTTAGGGTTTAGGGTTTTTGGATTGGGAGTTTTGCTGTGAGCGTTTGATCAGGGTGTGGCAGTCGGTGGATTTTAAGGTTTGGGGGCCGTGAAAGTAGAACCCTAAACCCCAAAACCCCCAAACCCAAAACCCCCAAACCCTAAACCCCTAGACCCTAAACCCCTAAACCCTGAAACCCCTAAACCCTAAATTAACTCCTCGACGGGTTCGGGCTCAGGTGACCAAGGGCTTGGTGGGGTGTCGGTCGCTCTAGGGTGCAAGGGCACCCACAACTGCAAACCTTTAGGTTTAGGGTTTAGGGTTTAGGGTTTACAAGCCGATGGGTTTAGGCATCATGTTCTGGATGGATAGAACTCTCGGGTTGGCAGGACTTTGGGTTAACACTGACACGGGAGCCTTAATTAATATCTCGATACTTAAATTAGAAGAGGGTTTTTGAGACATGCTGCAGAATTTTGTGGATAGTTCTCTAAATTAGGGTCCCGTTTAATCCCCAAAGTAGTACGGCACCCTCGTAAAAATCGGACCCTTAAAAAAAGAAGCTAATTTAGAGAACTACCCATAGGCCCCTGAGTAGTTCCTTTTTATGGTTTATAAATATAGAATCCTATAAGGTAATTCTAAAAAGGGTCTACTTATATAGGGGCCTATGGCTAATTTAGAGAAGAAGGAGCCGGCAAGGCTCTGCGCCCCTGCAGTGACCAGGTCTGGCGGTTGTGCCAGTGCCCAGCTATTACCTTACAACCTGAAAATATACAAATACCCATAGGCTCCATAGTAGTTCCTTTTTGTGATTTATATTTAGGATCCTAGAAGGCAATCCCAAAAAGGAACTACTATGGAGCCTCTGGGTAGTACCTACTTAGTTGCCTTGGGGTCGATAGTCCACAAAATGTCTATAAATGGTACCTGCTTCGAGCTATTTGGAGTCTTAGGTATGGTTGTTGGGGTTTAGAGGGCTTAAAGGGGTTAAGAGGGTCGGTGGGGTTTAAGGTTTAGGTTCTTCGGTTTGCTGGTTGACTGCGTGTCTTGTGCATGAGGACCCGTTACTGGACTTATTGGCATCTGGGCGACATAAGTTCGAAATCCTTGCCGTTCTCATTCATCCTTCGTTTTCTCACAGGATGTTGTTCGCAGTTGTATGACAACATGTTAAGACAATGGTTGAACATCATAGTTGTAAGTGGTTTCATGGCACAAGACGTATGTGTATACATATCTAAATAGCCATCTATCTAACTATCTATCTACCTACCTATCTATCTATCTATCTATCTATCTATATTGTTTTGCCTGTGTATGGTTTCTTTATTTCTTGGATCTCTCTCTCTCTCTCTCTCTCTCGTTCAAGGTCTCGGCGTTGGGTTCAAGGTTTGGCGTTTGCCTTATATCGGGGTCTAGCAGAACCCTGCGTGTTCCCTAACTAAACCCTCGACCCTAAACCCTTTATGGTCCCTACCCATAGGCTCCTAAGTAGTTCCTTTTTGGGACTAAACTTATAGGATTCTAAATATGGACCACAAAAAGGAACTACTTAGGAGCCTATGGTCCCTACACCCAAACCACTACATCAGAGCTTCGGGTTTCAGATTCAAGAGCTCTTGGCAATCGCCTTGAGGCGAGATGGTTTCAAGAGGCCGCAATGCTCTGCCCTCCACGCGTTTAGGGTTTAGGGGTTTAGGGTTTACGCTCTAGGGTTTAGGTAGATTCAGATGAACAGCCCGTGATCGACACTTTTTTCTTGTCACTTTACAGTACTTCTCGTGAAGGATCCTCGCAGTAAACTATGTTGTCAGAAAGAGCATTGCAGATTGGGGTGTGGGTAGTGAATTGCCGTTCTTACCCATGTCCACTCATTTCGCGGGGTCCATATATCCAAATTCCCAACACGCGCTCAACCCCGAAACCCTAAACCCTGAAACCCGAAGCCCTAAACCCTGAAACCCTAGACCCTAACACCCTAGACCCCAAGACCCCAAATCCTAAGCCCAAGCCCTGAACCCTACAACACTAAAATCCAAGACCCCACTCCGAAATTCCGTAAACCCTTTTAAAGCCTCATAAAGGCGCCTAAATATCATTACCTATACTATATTGGGGGGTTACTTATTATAGTTATGGTATAATGCACTTATTATAGTTATGGTATAATACACTTATTATAGTTATAGTATAATACACTCATTATAATTATAGCATAATACACCCCCCCAAAAAAAAACTATTCCAATTCTCAAGGCCCCTATTATTAAACGACTTGAGAAAACCCTAAAACCCTAAACCCTACAACCCTAAAACCCTAAAACCCTAAAACCCTAAACCCTAAAACCCTAAACCTAAAACCCTAAAACCCTAAACCCGAAAACCCCCCAAGGAATTGGGGGCCGAAATCAATGGCCGGGACTGGAAGGCGCTGTTCAAGTTGATGCACGGGTTTAGGGTTTAGGGCTTTAGGGTTTTTAGGGTTTAGTAGGGTTTTAGGGTTTAGGGTTTTAGGGTTTAGGGTTTAGTGTTTTAGGGTTTAGGGTTTAGGGTTTAGAGGGATACTGCCCCCACTGAGGAAGAGTTGAGTAATATTCATTATATGGAGATATAAGGCCCTTCATAGTAGCCGTATTTTAGACTGTTGCTGCATAATGGGGCAGTACCCAAGGTCTGGGGCTGTAGGGGGGGTTGGGGCTACGAAGTTGGGGTCAAAAGCCGGGGTTCCTGGGTTTGGGGTCTTAGGGGGTCGGGGTTTTAGGGTTTCAAGGCCTAGGGTTTAGGCTCTTAGGAGGTAGCCCTAAACCCTAAACCCTATTGGGGGGGGGTTAAGGTCCAGAGTCTAGGGTTTTGCGGTTTAGGCTTTTGATGTTGATGTATGCAGCAGGCTTCTCTAAGGCTTTTTTTAAGGGTGCTCCAGGGCACGAAGGCGTCTTTCAAGGAGGTATGGGATGTGGGGCATAGGGGCTTAGAGTGTCTAAGTATCCGCATATTTCAGGCTCCAAATGCAACAAATCCGGAGGGCTTGTGGTGTTGTATCTTAGGTCCCCCAGTAATTGGCACCCCCTTTTCCCTGGGCTTCCCTATTATAAACAAATTAGTAGGAAGAAGGATCATCATTGGGGGGCTACTGGGGGAACCTAGGAGGATTGTTTGGGAGGACACAGCTTGTAATATCAAACCCCGAACCCTGACCCCCAAGCCTCAGACCCCATTTACCCAAAGGGCCCTAAGTACCTAGATAGTGGAGTGTAGGATGGTTAGGGATCATGCTTAACCTTTGGGTAAGTATCCCCCCCCACAGTTCCTAGGACTTTCTTTGGGTCGTGAACTCTAAAACCCTCGGCCTGACGCATTTCTTTGGACGTTCGTTAGGGTTTTGGGGAGAAGAGGCCCGAGGTTTTCGATTGTCCAAGGTTGATCAGGGCTTCAAGTGGGTTTCTGTAGCTGATGGTTTGCGACTTTAGGGGTTAGTGGTTTCATAAGCCATGGATCGTTTACACCTGACATGACAGCGTTGAATCTTGAACTCGCTCGCTGCATGTAGCCAATCACGTGTATGGGTGTTTCAGAATGCAGGGTGACCTAACACCCACCCTCCTCTGCATAAATATCCTAAACCCTAAACCCTACTGTAAACTCTAAACCCTTAACCCTAAACCCTCAACCCTAAACCCTAGACCCTCAACCATCCCAAACCCGAAGCCTCTAAAGCAAGAAGTTTTGGAGAACCCCACAAGTAGGCCCCAAACCCTAAACCCGCAACCCCCAGACCCCAAACCCCTGAACCTGCCTCTAAAGCCCTAAACCCTAAAGCCCTAAAACCCTAAAGCCCTAAACCCAAAGCCCCCAGACCCTGAACCCCTGAACCTACAACTGTCTCTGCGGAAGGGCGTCACTTCTTTGCTCCTGGCTTCGAAGCTGGGTCATGTGCTGCCTGACCCAAAGATCCTAGGTTTAGGGTTTTGGGTTTTGGCTTTAGGGTTTCGGGTTTGAGGTTTAGGGTTAGGGTTTAGGGGTTTAGGGTTTTTGGTTTTGGCTTTAGGGTTTCGGGTTTGAGG